ATCACTGCCTCCCACCCCGTCGAATGACATTGGAGCCTACCACTTTATACTGTACACGTGCTCAAAACGAAGCTTAATTTGCTGGCTGCCTTATCACATTTTGCTTGCCATTGGTCTGGAATGATGTCATCCACTGTACAGACCACAGACCCAACCTCCATACAACAACCCCTCCTCCTGCACCCCCTGTCTTCCTCTCTCTCACACACGTATACATCCGAGAGCACATTGACACATGCACAAGCACTGACACTGGTGTGGTGTAAGCACTTTTTATAGTGGTGATATTTTTGTTTTCTATTATCAATAATAGATGGTTAGTGTCGTAGGTCCTCTATTTTAAATGCAAGTTTATTCTTGCACGGCAAACGGATCCGCAAAATATTATAGGTCCTGCAGTGCAGAGGATACCGTTAACCAACGAAATGTCTGGACAACATCAATGAAAATGTAAATAATTATATTACACGGAGAGCATGAAGATAAAACGGAATTGTCACTCCTAACGTAAGTGTGTTTATTTTAAACCCTTAACCAAGCATATAGTATCCTGACGAACAAGACTAATGTCTGATATACAATTACTCTGAATATTATAGGCTATTGTTGCCACATGATGATCCAACACTATGGCTACGTGTTACACACTTGTATGCATATAAGAAACACGCCAATACGTTAGAATGCAGCTGGTCTCACAGACTAGACTCCTAACTAAGAACAGTGATGTCCTCAAACTAGTTTTCGGTTTCCTGAGACACCGGACACTATATATCCATTTGACGCGACACTACGAATCAATTGGATTAAATTCACCTTCATTACTTATTAACTGTCCGCCAGAGGATAATAGCACCAACCCTCATTCGCTGCAGTCTTTGCCAAAATAAGTTATATTATTTATCAAGACTATGGGAGTGAAAGTGATACGAGATGTTGATGATACATTTTCCATGGCCTAATTTGGACCAAACCGTGTATGATGCTGGAGTTGTAGGACATACATGCTATAAAGCCATTACCATTATTTCTTATTTATTTTTTGTTGCATGGTTTTCTTATGAATTATTTACATGATGTGCGTTTTTGCAAGTCACTATTCAATACTAGTATGTATTCTTATTTTGGCTGTTTTTATATAAACTAGGCCTAATAATTTCAGCATATCTATATCCTATATGCGAACAAAGTGCAAACGTAAAACGCCACTCATAGAGATGAGAAGAGACTGCTTCTTTTTCCCTGCCAGTGACAAACTGAGACGGGACCCTAAGCATAACGATGTGCGACGATGCGCGAAATAATTGAACTCTCGTATGATTCCACCTTATTTAATTTATGGGCTTCCTCTGCTATTAGCGGTCAATCTATTAGGGTTTTTTCCACCAATGCCCGTTGTTATTATTCCCCTTACCTTGCAGGCGCAGCATGCCGTTATTTGTCCACAGCAAACCGGGATAAATAGTATTGCAGGTAGGTCTTTTTGTGAATGTGTAGATAGATGACCAGAGGTCACCAAGGTTTCAAATAGGCCTCATAATTTCAGATAATTTCAGCAGTATACTGTGCCATAACAAGATGATACAGTGCATTCGGAAAGCATTCAGACCCCTTGACATTTTCCACATTTTGTTACGTTCCAGCCTTATTCTAAAATGGATTAAATGTTTTTTTTTCTTCATCAATCTACACACAATACCCCATAATAACAAAGCAAAAACAGGTTTTTAGAAATTGTTGTAATTTATAACAAATAAAAAACGGAAATACCACATTTACATAAGTATTCAGACCCTTTACTCAGTACTTTGTTGAAGCACCTTTGGCAGCGATTACAGCCTCGATGCACAGCTATTTTCAGGTCTCTCCAGAGATGTTGGATCGGGTTCAAGTCCGGGCTCTGGCTGGGCCACTCAAGGACATTCAGAGACTTATGCCAAAGCCACTGCTGTGTTGTCTTGGCTGTGTGCTGTGTGCTTAGGGTCATTGTCCTGTTGGAAGGTGAACCTTCGCCCCAGTCTGAGGTCCTGAGCGCTCTGGAGCAGGTTTTCATCAAGGATCTCTCTGTAATTTGCTCCGTTCATCTTTCCCTCGACTCTGACTAGTCTCCCAGTCCCTGCCGCTGAAAAACATCCACACAGCATGATGCTGCCACAACCATGCTTCACCATAGGGATGGTGCCAGGTTTCCTCTAGACGTGATGCTTGGCATTCAGGCCAAAGAGTTCAATCTTGGTTTCATCAGACCAGATAATCTTGTTTCTCATGGTCTGAGAGTCCTTTAGGTACCTTTTGGCAAACTCCAAGTGGGCTGTCATGTGCCTTTTACTGAGGAGTGGCTTCCGTCTGGCCACTCTACCATAAAGGCCTGATTGGTGGAGTGCTGCAGAGATGGTTGTTCTTCTGGAAGGTTCTCCCATCTCGACAGAGGAATTCTGGAGCTCTGTCAGTGTAACCATTGGGTTCTTGGTCACCTCCCTGACCAAGGCCCTTCTCCCCCGATTGCTCAGTTTGGCCGGGTGGCCAGCTATAGGAAGAGTCTTGGTGGTTCCAAACTTCTTCCATTTAAGAATGATGGAGGCCACTGTGTTCATGGAGACATTCAATGCTGCAGAAATGTTTTGGTACCCTTCCCCATATCTGTGCCTCGACACAATCCTTTCTCAGAGCTCTACGGACAATTCCTTCGACCTCATGGCTTGGTTTTTGCTCTGACATGCACTGTCAACTGTGGGACCTTATATAGACAGGTGTGTGCCGTTCCAAATCATATCCAATCAATTTAATTTACCACAGGTGGCCTCCAATAAAGTTGTAGAAACATCTCAAGGATGACCAATGGAAACAGGCTGCACTAGAGCTCAATTTCGAGTCTCATAGCAAAGGTTCTGAATACTTATGTAAATAAGGTATTTCTGTTTTTTATTTTTTATAAATTTGCAAAAAAATCTAAAAACCTGTTTTTGCTTTGTCATTATGGGGTATTGTGTATAGATTGATAAGGACATTTTTATTTATTTAATCCATTTTAGAATAAGGCTGTAACGTATCAAAATGTGGATAGGGAAGGGGTCTGAATACTTTCCAAATGCACTGTATGTGGTGAAAGATCCTAAAGAGACAGACAGTGCCTTGTGAATCCCACATGGTCCTCTACTTCAGAGTGAGACTAATCATCAGGTCACCTCTCTACATTCAAATGTTCTAGGCTTTCTTTCTACCGCTGTAACAATAATCACATACTGGTATAGCGGATGGAAGTCTGTCTTCTGCACATCAGAATCTTTGTTCTTATTCTGTAGCAAAAACATTACTTTTACACCCTTTATCAAGCCTCCAAATTCAGAAGCTCTTTTTCACAATGTATGTAGGCCTACTGGCTGCAATTGTAGATATGGTGACAGTAATGGTCAGAATGGGGCTGAAGAACAATGATGATGATGATAATGATCTCAAGAGGCATTGCTTGCTGCAAGCATTTGCTTAAGTATGTTTTTGTGGTTTGCACTGTGTTTTTGGTCTGACTGTGATTAGACAGTATGATTAAAAAGGACCAATACACTGTTACACTGTGTTCATGTATGTGCGGATGAGGTGTTTACAATGTGTGAGTGAAAAGTGATCAGAGTGATGTTGACTTCCACCATGACAAAACTGGGTCAATGTAACCCAACCCCCCTCCACCACAGGCTACGAAGGCAAGGCTTAGGATACCATCACCAAGCTCTGTGCGTGGATGTATGCATGTGGAAAACCCAAGCATGGTGTGCTTTGTCTATGGGTCACTATGTGTGTTGCGTGGGAGTGAATTATCCTCAGTGCCTTTTGCCATGTTTCTACCTCCTGTCTAGTCTGTGGTCTACCCTGTCAGGTCATATTCTGTCTTTATATCTCTGTCCTCCCATCTCTCTATTTCTCTCCCAACCTTCATCTCTCTCTTGTTATCTCTCTGTACTGCCCGGTCCCAGAGAATCTTCTTTAATGCAAAAAAAGCTCATTCATGGGTTTTGTCATAGTAAGTAGCGCTTAGTAGATGACAAATGCAAAGTCTTTACTACCAATGAGAATTAGGCATCAATTTTACAATGTCTTTATTTAAAGGGTAGAATAACATGATAATAATGATACAATATCTAAAGCTTTGCCCAAAATGTCCTCTCTCCTCCAGTCTTTATTCAAGTATTTCATGACGAAGTGCTTATTTATAGGTTACGACACGTACATCGATGGTCAGTCAGTGCCTGTGGCAGTAACAGCCAGCTCTCTAGTCTGCTGTGCTATGGCAAAGGGCCTTCTCTAAAAGGGAGATATATTTGTCTGTTTATTCGGTCAGAGATTTGGTTCTGCTGCATTTCTCCAACCATTCTCTTGACCTAACTTCAATTTCAACAAACTGTTCTTAAAACAGTGGTGTCTGCCGTGTTTTGGCAAAACCATAAAGGCTGTCTTTTGGTCTTTTGGTTTTGATTTAATTCCTGTGTTTTTGTTGTGTTTTCTTTCCAAATCCAATGGATGACTAACAGAAATATGCTTCACATATTCTTCTGATCGTTCATTACAGTGGTCGGCAGAAGTAGTCAAGTAATAGTCACGGGATGTGTTCTTCTTGAATTCGAACTCTGCAACAATTTACATTAAATGGCTTTATTATGTGTTATCTAGATGGGAATAACACATGGAAATACCTTGTGTACTAGGTATGTATACAGACTGTTTCATAGTATTTCCCAAAGAGCAGTTTTTTCAAGATAATAAGTGTCCATAACACCATACTCCATACCTAGTAGGTTGCAAGGTAGTTACATAGCTTGGCTATTCCACTGGTCATTACTCTGGCGTAGGACAGATGTGATGTAAATGTTGCTTCGAATTCAAAAAAAAGTGATGATGTTGATGCCAACAGTCATTTAAAAATGTTATCTGAATACAATCTTAATATTGTTTTTCTGTTTCTTTCTCCCCTATCTCTTACACACACAGACAGCTTTGCGTAGACCCAGATGCCTCCACTCCCTCTTGACGAGCGCATAGTGGTTATTCAGCACCCTAAAAACTTGGCCCTACGTGGGTCCTCCCCACAGACCACCCCACAGCCCCCCTCCCATATAACAGCCCCTAGCAACAAACCTCTCTCCCGCCCTTCTCATCCCCACCCTCCTCAGTCCTACCCCAATCCTCCCTCATCGAACTCACTGTCTTTGGAATGCAAGCGCAGATCATCATCCCGTCTGCAGAAAACCAAAGGCGACAAGGCCATCGTCTCAGAGGGTGTCAGACACACCCCTAGCCACTGTCACAGCAACGGGACCGTGACTCTTGGCCCTAGACCCCACCAACACACACACACCATCGACATCAAGTTATCCGTGAACAAAGGAATAAAAGGAGGAGGAGGGCACAGCAACTCTTTAGGTCGCAGTGGGAGTGTGAAGGGGAGCAAGAAAAGGGTCTCGTTACGCTTGGATCCAGGATACGGGGAGAAAAAAGCTGGGGGAACATCAGGGAAGCCTGGTGGAGTAGTGCAGCAACTCCAAAACCACCCACAGAACAAGAGCAAGGCCTCACAAGGCAGTCACCATCAGAATCATCTGTCAGTGTCCCCGGGAGGAGTCTTAGAGTTTGTCCCATCCCAGAGACAGCAGTCCAAGTCCAGAAGAGAGAAGGTGCAGGACGTGTCCCCCAAAGTCTGCTCTGCCAGCTTCCCCCCCAGAGGTGCCCGGGAAGTGCCCTGCGTGGGTAACAAAGAGAATTCCAAACTGGGACCTGTCCATCAAAACCCCAACCCCCAGAGCCTGCCCTGCCACCACAACTCTGTCCCTGTGCCCCATGCCGCTGTTCTAAACTCCCACTACCCTGCCTCCCCTCCCTCCCACCACCCCCGTGCTCCTACCTCGTTTCAGCAACCCCTCAACCAGCCTCGTCCATCCCGCGGCAGGGACCATTGTCCTCAGATCCATCACGGCCTACCCCTCTCCCCCTGTTCCTCCCGTGGAGGTTTCCCCAGCCCAGACCACACCTGTACCATCGACTTCTCCCATCCCTTCAGCTGTGGCTGCTGGAAGCTGGTCCGCTGCAGAGGGGGCAGGGGACGTTCTGCTGGCTGCCAGGGGGGTAGGGGGAGTCCGTCTTCCTCTTTTTCCTGTGCCCACGGCCACAGGGTTGTAGGGGTGAACCACAGAGGGGGCGCAGCAATGGGATTAAGAACTCTTGGGGGATGTTTGTCCACAGCCTCCACCACCAACACCTCATCCTCCAACAGCACTGTGTCGGACTGCCGTACGGGCTTGCTCAGACCCCTGCGATGTGCCTCCTGCTCCGGGGAGGCTGGCGCCTTTGAGAGTCCTGCTGCATTCCGCAAAAAACTGGTGGGGGGATGCCTGCCCTGTACCCCACTATCCTCCTCAGCCCCGCTGCGAGCCTTACAGAGTTGTGTGAGTGGCTGCAACCCAAAAGCCAGTCAGGCCGGCAGCTCTACCTGCAGCTATTGTAGCAGCGACCCCATAGTTGTGACCTTCAACCCACGTCGGGGCGGCAAGCCCCCCGGGATGGGCAGTGGTGTAGGGGCAAGGCACCCCATGGGAGTATTCCCCGCCGATGATGATGATTACAGCGTGCGCACAATCTGGCCCGAGGAGCTTGGAAAAAAGATGACCAGGTCTAAAACCCAACAGAACCACCAGAGCTGTGCCGGGATGGGGATAGGAGTGGGGAAGACATGTGTGGGTCAGAACCAGAACAGCACCAACGGAACCAGCCCTGTCATCCTGGACTGTAGGAACCTGTTGGAGTTCACCCGGAATGAGATAACAGACCACGCTGGCCGATGCCGGCTTCAGCAGGGCAAGATGGCCGTCCTAGATTTTATTGGGTCTGGGCCTGGGCGAGATCCAGACCGGGACTCCCTAAAGAGGCTCTGGAACAAAGGTGGGGAGTCAGGAAAGGTGGATGGCATGGGGCAGGAAGACAATATGACATACCCTCGCACCCCTTCCCCCCGCACCCCCTCTACCCAATCCCCTCCTTCCTTCTCACCCCCACCGTCAGCTCCCAGCACTCTCCTCAAACCCAAACCCAGACAGAGAGATGCAGAGGGACGCCATTCCCTCCCCTCCGCCCAGTCCCTCCACCTGGTCCTAAACTCACTCAACAGAGAGCAGGACGAAGAGAGCGGCAGAGGTAAGGGTGTCATGGTTTCTGTTTCAGTGTCTTAGTCTATACGTCTGCAGAGGGTGTCATACTCTGGTTTCTGTTTCAGTGTCTTAGTCTATACGTCTGCAGAGGGTGTCATACTCTGGTTTCTGTTTCTGTCTCTTAGTCTATACTTCTCCAGATTTTTGGTCCGTTGTGCATTTTTGACAGATTTTTTAAAAATATTTTTGGACACAGATAGTTACAGAACAAAAATCCCCAATGGTAGAGACCAGCTTTAATGTCTGACTGCAGAAATGACCATTTGTTCAAGCAAATCTCTTTCATCATATTCTTATTCTCATTACTGTCTCTTTCTCCACACCTATCTTTTAAATATCATTCCTTTCCCTGCCAATCTCATTTTATATGTTATTCTAACATGTTGGTTATTTAAAAGGAACCTGAGGATAATGACTGTTAATTATAGCCTGGGCTCCAGCGTAAAAAGAGACAGAGAGGAGTGAAATGGAGGGAGGGTGATTGGAACGCAAAGAGAGCTGATAAGAGCGGGAGATTAGAATAGCTGACACTGAACCCTGTCAGTGGGAGATTAAGCTGTTCTCATTTAAATGACAAAGCCCCAGAAACCTAAGATGTATTCTCTATTCTTAATAGTTACATAACTGTAGCCTCCTCCACTCTGTTAAGTGACTGCAGGATGTGTTGATGACATACAGTATAGCATAAAGAATCACACGTTTCAGAAGCTTTTTCATGTCTGTACGTTTCCCTCCCTCTGTTAGGAGAACATGTATGAAATGATGAAAACATTAGCAGTTCCTCAGAGCTGCAAACATTTTTGCTCTGCAGGAGTAAAGTGAACGGCAATGATACTCCTACTCAACAAGAACCATAAATGAGATAAATTGTACACTTTCATTGTCTCTCCTTCATTCACACATCTCTTCAAAACTCTTTCTATCTCTGATGTTTGATTTATATTTTCTGTGTCTAACTCTGGTATACTTCAGGGTGAATGCCTGTCAGTGATCCAAATCAAATAAATTGTCATTTCTCTAAGAGCAATCTCTCACTGTGTTGTGTTGTCCTCTGCTCTCCCAGTGCACCTCACTCTGCCGCTCTCCTCCTCGCTCCCGGCCTCCCTGTCAGATGAGAGTGGGATGACCCCTGATGTGGAGAATGCGGTGGTCAGCCCCATCCTACCCTTCCTCTTCCTGGGCAACGAGAGGGACGCCCAGGACCTGGACCTGCTGCTGCGCCTCAACATCGGCTACGTGGTCAACGTCACCACACACCTGCCCCTCTACCACCTCGGCTCTGGCCTGGTGCGCTACAAACGGCTGCCGGCTACCGACAACAGCAAGCAGAACCTACGACAGTACTTTGAGGAGGTCTTTGAGTTCATCGGTGAGTTGAGCAGTATCTACCTCAGGGGTGTCAAACTCATTTTGCCCCAGGGACTGGTCTTCTATCCATAGTTTTGGGAATTGTCGATGCTCCCAGACTGTCTACCTTGTCGATGCTCCCAGCCTGAATTAAAAATGGATTAAATTGAGACGTTTTTGTCACTGGCCTACGCACAATATCCCATAATGTCAAAGTAGAGTTATGTTTTTCTGCGTTTTCTGAAATTAATAGAAAATGAAAATCTGAAGTATTCAACACCTTTGTTATGGCAAGCCTAAATAAGTTAAGGAGTAAAAATTGCTTAACAAGTCACATAATAAGTTGCATGGACATGCAATAATAGTGTTTAACATGAGTTTTTTATGACTACCTCATCTCTGTACCCCACACATACAATTATCTGTAAGATCCCTCAGTCGAGCAGTGAATTTCAAACACAGATTCAACCACAAAGACCAGGGAGGGTTCCCAGTGCCTCGCAAAGAAGGGCACCTATTGGTAGATTATTATTTTTTTAAGCAGACATTGAATATCCATTTGAGCGTGGTGAAGTTATTCTTTACACTTTGGGTGGTGTATCAATACATCCAGTCATTGCAAAGATACAGGCGTCCTTCCTAACTCAGTTGCGGTAGAGGAAGGAATTCGCACAGGGATTTCACCATGAGGCCAATGGTGACTTTAAAACAGTTACAGAGTTTAATGGTTGTGATAGGAAAAAACTGAGGCTGGATCAACAACATTGTAGTTACTCCAGAATACTAACCTAATTGACAGAGTGAAAAGAACGAAGCCTGTACAGAATTAAAATATTCCAAAACATGCATCCTGTTTTCAACAAGGCACTAAAGTAATACTGCAAAAAATGTCCTGAATACAAGGTGTTATGTTTGGGGCAAATCCAATACAACATATTACTGAGTACCACTTTCCATATTTTCAAGCATAGTGGAGGCTGCATCATGTTATGGGTACGCTTGTAATCATTGAATTCACCTTTCAGCAGGATATTAACCTAAAATACAAGGCCAAATCTACACTGGAGTTGCTTACCAAAAAGACAGTGAATGTTCCTGAGTGGCCGAGTTACAGTTTTGACTTAAATCTACTTGAAAATCTATGGCAAGACCTGAAAATGGTTGTCTAGCAATGATCAACAACCAATTTGACAGAACTTGAATCATTTTAAAAAGAATAATGGGCAAATGTTGCACAATCCAGGTGTGGAAAGCTCTTAGAGACTTACCCAAAAAGACTCACAGTTGTTATCGCTGCCAAAGGTGCTTCTACAAAGTATTGACTCAGGGATGTGAATACTTACAGTTGAAGTCGGAAGTTTACATACACTTAGGTTGGTGTCATTAAAACTCGTTTTTCAACCACACACATTTCTTGTTAACGAACTATAGTTTTGGCAAGTCGGTTAGGACATCAACTTTGTGCATGACACAAGTAATTTTTCCAACAATTGTTTACAGACAGATTATTTCACTTATAATTCACTGTATCACAATTCCAGTGGGTCAGAAGTTTACATACACTAAGTTGACTGTGCCTTTAAACAGCTTGGAAAATTCCAGAATATTATGTCATGGCTTTAAAAGCTTCTGATAGGCTAATTGACATAATTTGAGTCAATTGGAAGTGTACCTGTGGATGTATTTCAAGGCCTACCTTCAAACTCAGTGCCTCTTTGCTTGACATCATGGGAAAATCCAAAGAAATCAGCCAAGACCTCAGAAAAAAATGGTAGACCTCCACAAGTCTGGTTCATCCTTGGGAGCAATTTCCTAACGCCTGAAGGTACCACGTTCATCTGTACAAACAATAGTATGCAAGTATAAACACCATGGGACCACGCAGCCGTCATACCGCTCAAGAAGGAGACGCGTTCTGTCTCTTGGAGATGAACATACTTTGGTGCGAAAAGTGCAAATCAATCCCAGAACAACAGCAAAGGACCTTGTGAAGATGCTGGAGGAAACAGGTGCAAAAGTATGTTCATCTTTGGCCATAATGACCATCGTTATGTTTGGAGGAAAAAGGGGGGTCATGCAAGCTGAAGAACACCATCCCAACCGTGAAGCACGGGGGTGGCAGCATCATGCTGTGGTGGTGCTTTGCTGCAGGAGGGACTGGTGCACTTCACAAAATAGATGGCATCATGAGGAAGGAAAATTATGTGAATATATTGAAGCAACATCTCAAGACATCAGTCAGGAAGTTAAAGCTTGATTGCAAATGGGTCTTCCAAATGGACAATGACCCCAAGCATACTTCCAAAGTTGTGGCAAAATGGCTTAAGGACAACAAAGTCAAGGTATTGGAGTGGCCATCACAAAGCCCTGACCTCAATCCCAATGAAAATGTGTGGGCAGAACTGAAAATGCGTGTGCGAGCAAGGAGGCCTACAAACCTGACTCGGTTACACCAGCTCTGTCAGGAGGAATGGGCCAAAATTCACCCAACTTATTGTGGGAAGCTTGTGGAAGGCTATCCGAAACGTTTGACCCAAGTTAAACAATTTAAAGGCAATGCTACCAAATACTAATTGAGTGCATGTAAACTTCTGACCCACTTTAGATGTGATGAAATAAATAAAAGCTGAAATAAATCATTCTCTCTACTATTATTCTGACATTTCTCATTCTTAAAATAAAGTGGTGATCCTAACTGACCTAAAACAGGGACTTTTTACTAGGATTAAATGTCAGGAATTGTGAAAAACTGAGTTTAAATGTATTTGGCTAAGGTGTATGTAAACTTCCGACTTCAACTGTATGTAAATGAGATATTTCTGTATTTCATTTTCAATACATTTGCAAAAATGTCTAAAAACATGTTTTCACTTTGTCATTGTATAGTATTGTGTGTAGATGGGTGAGAATTGTTATTTATTTAATCCATTTTGAATTCTGGCTGTAACACAACAAAATGTGGAATAAGTAAAGGGGTGTGAATACTTTCTGATCGCACTGTACATGTATATACTGTAGATCATTTTTTTACTCAAAACACCCGTGGGTTGGATTGGAACCCCTAATCTACCTTCATTTTCTATCGCACTCACTATCCCCGTTCCTGTCTTTTGGTATTTTTCTCTCTGAGCTTAGAATCTTTGAAACTTGAAGTATTTTAGCACTGAGATAAGAAGCGGATCATGATGATTTCTATGTGAAGTCTTTCCTCTGATCTCTTTCTCCTATTTCAAAGTTTTGTGACTGGAGAGACATTTAGGGAGCTATAAATGGATCAAGGGAAGATGGGAGAACTGGAGAGTCAGATCCAGAAAAAGCTGTGGAGTAGATGAATTCCAGCAATCATCCTTGACAGGAATCTGATAGCCACCTCTTTTCATCCACAGAGGAGGCTCACCAGAGTGGGCGAGGAGTGTTGATTCATTGTCAAGCGGGCGTGTCCCGCTCGGCAACCATCGTCATCGCCTACCTGATGAAGCACACCCTTATGACCATGACTGATGCCTACAAGTATGTGCGAGGCCGTCGTCCTGTGGTGTCTCCCAACCTCAACTTCATGGGTCAGCTACTGGAGTTTGAGAGGGACCTCAACTCCGGTGTCACTCCTCGCATCCTGACCCCCAAACTCAGCGGCCTTGAGACCCAGGTCTGAGAGCGGGAGACGAGGGACAGAATGGAGGGAAGGGGAAGGAGGAAACCAGCATTGGGCCAGCCATAGTTTTGTGAAGGAGAAATGAAAGGTAGAGTGATAAAGAGGGGATTTCTGATTGACAGAGTGTCCCTATTGGCATAGATTATGAATTATAGATTATAGGATAAATAATTTGATTGGTTAACTTATTTATAGTCCCATTTCTGGTCAACCTGATCCTCATCCAATACCATTTGTAATTATTTGCCAAGATTTTATATAATGCTTGGATATCATTATTTACAATGATACACTGTAATCAGATGGCTCAATTGATGCTTGTGGTAAATAGCATTACAGAAGTTAAGGAAGTGCAATGAGTCCTGGTCTGACACAAGGGTGTCATTTACAAAATCCATAACGCATGCAGAACCAGAATAGAAACAACTATAGTGACATCCCACCATTCAGCTATGACAACACAACTATCCATAGCCCCAGAGAGGTCATTCCAATGCACTTTATCAATTTATCAATATTCCCCACTGGGTCGGAAATGTCTAAGTAAAAAAAATATATATATATATATATATATATATACACAGTACCAATCAAAAGTTTTAGAACACCTTCTCATTCAAGGGTTTTTCTTTATTTTTAGTATTTACTTAATTGTAGAATAATAGTGAAGACATCAAAACTATGAAATAACACATATGGAATCATATAGTAACCAAAAGGTGTTAAACAAATCAAAATATATTTTATATTTGAGATTCTTCAAAGTAGCCACCCTTTGCCTTGATGACAGCTTTGCACACTCTTGGCATTCTCTCAACTAGCTTCACCTGGAATGCTTTTCCAACAGTCTTGAAGGAGTTCCCACATATGCTGAGCACTTGTTGGCTGCTTTTCCTTCACTCAGCGGTCTGACTCATCCCAAACCATCTCAATTTGGTTGAGGTTGGGGGATTGTGGAGGCCAGGTCATCTGATGCAGCTCTCCATCACTTTCCTTCTTGGTAAAATAGCCCTTACACAGCCTGGAGGTGTGTTGGGTCATTGTCCTGTTGAAAAACAAATGATAGTCCCACTAAGCCCAAACCAGATGGGATGGCGTATCGCTGCAGAATGCTGTGGTAGCCATGCTGATTAAGTGTGCCTTGAATTCTAAATAAATCACAGACAGTGTCACCAGCAAAGCACCCCCACACCATAACACCTCCTCCTCCATGCTTTATTGTGGGAAATACACATGCAGAGATCATCCGTTCACCCACACCTCGTCTCACAAAGACACGGCGGTTGGAACCAAAAATCTCAAATTTGGACTCCAGACCAAAGGAACATTTCCACCGGTCTAATGTCCGTTGCTTGTGTTTCTTGGCCCAAGTAAGTCTCTTCTTCTTCTTATTGGTGTCCTTTAGTAGTGGTTTCTTTGCAGCAATTCGACAATGAAGGCCTGATTCACACAGTCTCCTCTGAAAAGTTGATGTTGAGATGTGTCTGTTACTTGAACTCTGTGAAGCAATTATTTGGGCTGTAATTTCTGGGGCTGGTAAGTCTAATGAACTTATCCTCTGCAGCAGAGGTTACTCTGGGTCTTCCATTCCTGTGGCGGTCCTCATGAGAGCCAGTTTCATCATAGCGCTTGATGGTTTTTGCAACTGCACTTGAAGAAACTTTCAAAGTTCTTGAAATGTTCCTTATTTACTGACTTTCATGTCTTAAAGTAATGATGGACTGTCGTTTCTCTTTGCTTATTTGAGCTGTTCTTGACATAATATGGACTTGGTCTTTTACCAAATAGGGCTATCTTCTGTATACCCCCCCCTACCTTGTCACAACACAACTGATTGGCTCAAACGCATTAAGAAGGAAAGAAATTCCACAAATTACTTTTAAGAAGGTACACCTGTTAATTGAAATGCATTCCAGGTGACTACCTCATGAAGCTGGTTGAGAGAATGCCAAGAGTGTGCAAAGCTGTATTCAAGGCAAAGGGTGGCTATTTGATGAATCTCAAATCTCAAATATATTTAGATTTTTTTAACACCGTTTTGGTTACTATATGATTCCATATGTGTTATTTCATAGTTTTGATGTCTTCACTATTATTCTACAATGTAGAAAATAGTAAAAAATTAAGAAAAACCCTTGAATGAGTAGGTGTTCTAAAACTTTTGACCGGTAGTGTATACTGTATCTTGGGAGTTGTGCAATAGAGCAGCTTGTGGCTGGTGGAGGAGTGACCAAGGTTTAATCGTGCCAATTCTTAGGAAAATGGGGTGAAACCAGAAACCTACAACTCAGTGGATGAAACCAGAGCTGGTGCCAATAGAGGAATGGTCAAGAGCAACAATACACAGACAACACTGAACAGATTCAGCAGACTGTTATTGAACGGGACTTAGTCATGGATCTATCCATGCTGTCTTTCTAACAGACGATGGTTGGAAAGATATAAAAATATGAACACTGCAAAGTTGTATGCTTTAATTAAGACACAAAACTGCACGAAGATATTGTTCTTACAGTGCCCTCCTTGTTTGTGGAATATTTATCCTGAACATGTTTACTATTGCATATATAGAAGTACAGAGTATTTATTTTATTGATATGTTTTGTCATTTATTTTGCAATGTTTATGTCAATGCTTATATTTTAACTTAAAGAATATACATTCTACACATGTATGTGTTAAAATGTATCATTACTGAGAAGGAAGTCAAGGGAAAAGAGGGAATATAGAAAATACTCATGATCATTTCCTGTAATTGTGAAACATTCAGTAGTAATTAAAATCTGACTTGAAAGATAAGATAAATTATTATTTTTATAAGATAGAAAGGCAGCAGAGAGACAATCCTTGTCAACATGTCTTCATTTCATTCATGGCCTAGATAATTATTGTAGAAAAAACAGTTTATTGATTTATATTGAACTTAAATTAAATCCAGTGATTGCCAAACCAAGGACTTTGAGGTCCATAGCCAAACTATTAGGTTGTGAATGAAAATATAATGCAATGTTCAACTATCCTAGTCTTTAGATAATATCCAGGCCTTTATCTGCCTTGTCTGTCTGCCTGTTTATCTGCTAATCTATCTTTATCTATCAACCCATCCTAGTCTTGAGTTACAGTAATTAGTTCTTCCTGATCCGTTTATTCCCTCAAGCTGTATTCAGCTATACCATGTTACTGTGTATACCATGTTATACCATGCTACTGTGTATACCATGTTATACCATGCTACTGTGTATACCATGTTATACCATGCTACTGTGTATACCATGTTATACCCTGTTACTGTGTATACCATGTTATACCATGTTACTGTGTATACCATGTTATACCATGCTACTGTGTATACCATGTTATACCATGCTACTGTGTATACCATGTTATACCATGTTACTGTGTATACCATGTTATACCATGTTACTGTGTATACCATATTATACCATGTTACTGTGTATACCATGTTATACCATGTTACTGTGTATACCATTTTATAACCTTGTTACTGTGTATACCATGTTATACCATGTTTACTGTGTATACCATGTTATACCATGCTACTGTGTATACCATGTTATACCATGTTAACTGTGTATACCATGTTATAACCATGTTACTGTGTATACCATATTATACCATGTTACTGTGTATAACCATGTTATAACCTGTTACTGTGTATACCATGTATACCATGTTACTGTGTATACCATGTTATACCATGTTACTGTGTATACCATGTTATACCATGTTACTGTGTATACCATATTATACCATGTTACTGTGTATACCATGTTATACCATGTTACTGTGTATACCATTTTATACCTTGTTACTGTGTATACCATGTTATACCATGTTACTGTGTATACCATGTTATACCATGCTACTGTGTATACCATGTTATACCCTGTTACTGTGTATACCATGTTATACCATGTTACTGTGTATACCATGTTATACCATGTTACTGTGTATACCATGTTATACCATGTTACTGTGTATACCATATTATACCATGTTACTGTGTATACCATGTTATACCATGTTACTGTGTATACCATTTTATACCTTGTTACTGTGTATACCATGTTATACCATGTTACTGTGTATACCATGTTATACCATGTTACTGTGTATACCATGTTATACATGTACTGTGTATACCATGTTATACCATGCTACTGTGTATACCATGTTATACCATGTTACTGTGTATACCATGTTATACCATGTTACTGTGTATACCATATTATACCATGTTACTGTGTATACCATGTTATACCATGTTACTGTGTATACCATGTTATACCATGTTACTGTGTATACCATGTTATACCATGTTACTGTGTATACCATGTTATACCATGTTACTGTGTATACCATGTTATACCATGCTACTGTGTATACCATGTTATACCATGTTACTGTGTATACCATGTTATACCATGCTCAGGATAACAGAAATGAGCAATCCTTTGTAGCAGACAGAATGATGCCTCTCTTAATCTTATCTTCTGACAGTGTCTGCTTTGTGCACCCATCTGCCTCTGTAGAGTTTGAATCTCTTTTACTACAATACTATGCATTATTATTTTAGAAATATGGATTTGATCCGCGAAAACGATAACAAAGCTTTATCATTGAGTTCACTGTGAAACACACACTTCCTGCATTTTGTTTAGTTCTCAGCCTTGGTCCTTAAGGTTAAACCCATCCAACTTGTATTTAATACTGTGGGTTGTCAGTCGCCCCTTGAGCTCCTGTCTGTCAGTCTGTGCCTTGGTTCCTTTTCACTAGTTTTACATTTACTGATCCTTATTGCACAATTTATACTGTGATGCCCAGCAAAGTATGATCTATTACAGTCCTGCTATGTATCAAATTTGGATATAAACTGAACAAAAATATAAATGCAACATGCAACAATTCCATTTGATTTTACTGAGTTACAGTTCATATGAGGAAATCAGTCAATTGAAATCAATTAATTAGGTCCTAAT